GAACCCATGAATACAGAAGGCTGACTGTACCATGCCATCTTATACAAGACAGTTAAGCATCGGCAGTTTTTGGTATGAGGGGGAGAGCCCTGGAATCAATTCTCTGTCAATACCCAGGGACTCCTATACATATTTATTTATTTACTTTTTCTCTTTTGCCTCTTTATGTTGCCCTAAGACAGGCATCTCTCTGCAAGGTGGTGAGAATTTATTTTAAAAAGACCCAGTACAAAAGAACAGGAGGTTTTGATCAGCTTCTGATACGTACAAGAACAACAATTCGGAGAATAATAGGATCAAAAGTCAGGCTTTTCTCAGTTCCTTTAGCTCGCATCCAGCATATCAAGGCCTGAGGGATTCTGATCCCAGAATTTTCCCAGTGTAAAAAGAAAATGCCCCAGGTGGATTTCAAGGTTTAATTATGAGGCTGGGGTCTGGAGAAGACATATAATATAGGAAAATGTCCCCTCTTTCTGGATCAACTAATTGTGGGAGAAAGAGATGGGGAGGGAGAAACAGAGTTTGCAGGATAAGCACCTCGTTATACAGGGGCAAGCCCACTCCAGAGTAAAGTCAAGTGCTGGACACCTGAATCAATGCACCAGATGCTGGGCTTAACACAGAGTCTCAGGGACTGCATTCAGTAAAAGGCAAGTAGAGACTGAACCAGCCAGGAAGAAATGGCTAAAGCTCTCTGAGGGCAATGCCCAAGCCAGAAGAAGAGAGTAGCCCCAGCCTTCACCTCTCCATGCCAGCAGTGTGTCCATCAATAAGGCAGACAGGGATATTGCCCAGAATCCACAGGAGCCAAAAGACCCTGCACCAATGGGACCCCAGGTCATTCTCTCTGCTGAACAAACACACTGCCACCACCACCATGATCACCTGGTCCCAGTACTAGCTTGGAGAAAAGCTGAGAAGGAAGTCTAACAGCAGAGAAATCTGCAAGACTGAGACATTTTTCTTATAAAAGTGCTGAGTATCACCAGAAAGGACTGTTCCTATTATTCAATCAGACTGTTTCAATCTGATGAGATCTAAAGCTTTTTATTTGGTGTCCTTATTTCTTTTCCCTATTACCTAATGTTGGGTATTAGGGAAGCACATAAAAATAAAGTTAAGCCAAAGAAAGAAGGGGGGAGGTTTCCATTCTTTCTATAAATGCAAGCTATTGTGTGAATAAGATATGAATCCTCTCTCCCATAATAGCTAGCATTTGTTAAACGCTCATTATTATATTTTTAGTTTTGAGCTAGTAATTAATATATGTCTTCTCATTAAGTCCTCCCACCAAACATAGAGTCCATCATTATTATTTACATTTAGATGAAGAAACGTCCTTAGAGAAGTGTTTTGCTTAAAGTCATTCAGCTGCTTAATAGTAAAACCAGAATTTGGATCACTCCCCTAATGACTCAGATATTTATATCTGCTTGGTAGGTATGACTTCGTCTAGCATGTTCATTACCTGAAATTATCTTTACTAAATGTCATAGGTTACAAATTTTGACTTGAAAGTATTTATAGTGATAAGGAGAGTTAATTTTATAAAAACCATCAGACAATAATAGATAGATCACATATATAAGAATCCAACCTCGACATAAGAGGATACCAAACAAGATAAAAACTCAAAAATTCTTGGCAGTTATAAGACTGAACAGAAATGTCCACATGTCCATAATTATGTGGTATAAAATGTCCACATTTAAGAAAAACCTTCCATGTTTATCAGCATTCTACATACATTGCTTGGATTTTCATGAACTAGTTTTTTGTTGTTGTTATTGTTTAGGACTA